TTTTTCTTGTTGGTTTTTATGCCATGAAGTATGTGGCAATGCCTTAACTGTATGCGTGTTGTCAGGCCCGAGCGCCTCTTCCATCCTTGTCGAGGGGAGTGCTAAACTTCTCTCCTTTCATATAACACACCTAGTGTTTTTGTTTTGTTTTGTTTTGTTTTGTTTTGTTTTGTTTTAGGGTTTTACAGTTTATTAAATCCTCTCATGAAAAAAGTTGCAGTCACTGCAAACAAGCACTGCAGAATCTCTACTCCTTCGCCTGTTCTCCAATCTCTAGCTTACTTTTTGCCAGCACCAGTGTTAGCCTTTGTGGTGCCCCTGACTTTCTCCATTCTGTTCTTACATTCCTTCTGCTGCTTTCTTGAGGACTTTTTCTTCTAATACAGGCCATGTCTTGAAAGTCTATATTTGGGCTCATTTTTCTTCGCATAATCCAGGGAATCATAAATTGTGCCAAAGCCAGTCGTCTTGCCATCACCAAAATGGGTTCTGAATCCAAACACAAAAATGACATCTGGTGTGGTCTTGTACATTTTGGCGAGTTTTTCCCAACTTTCTGTCTTAGGTACTTTTGCTTTCCCAGGGTGAAGGACATCAATGACCACTTCTTTCCTTTGGAGAAGCCAGTTGGTCATGAATTTCCAGGTTTGGGTAGTTACTGTGTCATTCATGAAGGCAACGGAGCCTCAGACAGCTCGGGAGGAGAAGAGAAACATTCTGCTCCAGCCAGTCATATCAATGCGCATGGAAGGACCCTAGTTGGCTTTTAAAGTTGGACACAGGTGACATTTTTAAGGGCCCCAGAACCCCATTGCTTTGACAGGGTACTGAAGAGAAAACCAATATGGCTCTAAGTGTAGTAGGTCTTTCTAGTGAGCAAAGGGCCTATGCTTTAAAAAATTTATTTCATGTAGGCAGTAATGTCTTTGAAAGTTAATTTGTTTCTTCTTGTTTTCTGTGTTTTGGCTTGGCTTTGCCCTGGAATTCTACTACGTGATAGTTTAAAAATGTAAATTAGGCTAGAACATGTATAATCCATTCTCTGTCAGTTATAATAGATCTATTCTCTCAGTTATAATTGATGGGCAATTATGATTGGAAAGAAATACAACAAGAAGGATAATGAACAGGTAGTACTGATTTCCCAGCCTCCTCCCCCATAAAACCTTTCTCTATTTTCATAACAGCATATTGAGAAGTTTGTTTGATGAAATGACCAAAAATAAAACCACAAATATTTAAGCCTCATCTTCAGTTTCCTCTCCTTCACTCAGATCTTAGGAGTGTGTGCATGGAGAGATTTCAAGTGAATGGACAACCTGAAATTTTCAAACACATGAGGGCCTATATAACACATCACCAAACTAATTGAGAGTTGCTGTTCAATGGAGCAAAACTGAAAAATGTGTCTAACAAGAAACCAGAACACTTTTATCTCTGAACTGTGTATCGTTTGTCTATTCAGAAAATATTTATTCAGGAAGCTTGTTTTTAGGCACTGTCTGGGCTCCAGGAAACACAGCAGTGCCCTAGATATCCACAGAGGCTAAGTAAATATCCCAAAATGTAGAGACTCAAAAAATAATAACCATTGTGCTCATGGGCTTCCTAGTTCTGGGGTTTTCTGCCTAAGATCACCTAAACAGTTGCCATCTGGGGTCTCCAACACAGCTGCTATGGGGTAGTGACTGGAGTTAGGAGTCATCCCAAGTCTTCCACAGTCACATTTTTGGCAGTTGATGTTGGCCTTCAACAGTGACCTTTACTGGAGCAATTAAACATAGTCTCTTTGTGTGACCTGAGTTTCCTCACAGCAGGGAGGTTGGGTTCTGATGCTGAGATTCTTAAGAGGACAAAGAGGAAGTTCCTTTCATGATTTAGCCTTGGAAATCTCATAGTATCACTTCTACCGTCAGCCGCAGGCCTACAGAGATTCAAAGGGAAGAAACAGGCATATGTACGCCTACCTCTTGATGGTAAATGTCAATGCCACACTCTAACAAGACAAAGTGGGATGGGAGAGCTTGTCATGGGCAGCTTGGAAATTTCAGTCTGCAGTGAGACGAGATCAAAACTACATCACTAGCATTATGCATATGCTCAGGGAGTAGGGGAAAGTAGCAATAAACAAATCAAGAGATAAATATGGGAAGTATCAGGTAATGAGAATGTCTGTGAAGAAAATTAAAGGAAGTGGTTTAATGAGAACTGTGTGTACCATGTATTTTATAGGAGGTAGCCATGCAGTCCCCTCTGGTTAAAAGTCATTTGAGCAGAGATTCTGCAAAAACCAAACAACTGAACCATGAAGATAAAACAAGAGCATTCCCAGCAGGAAAAGTCGAAGGCATGAAGTTCATGAGAGGAGAAGGGGCTTCATGTGGTCAGGAAATGCTGAATGCCAGTGGGATTGGAGCAGTGGCCAGGATTGGAAAGAAAAGCAGAGAGGCTGCTGGGGGCTGAGATTACAGTGCTTCGGGCCATGGTGAGGGCCAAGGAATGAGACAGTAAACCACTGGAGAACTCTTAGAGGAAAAGAGCAAGAGTAACTTGTTTTAACAAAGCAAGGCTGCGATAACTCTGAACCTACATCGACAATGAAAGCACAGCAACCAGCTCAAGGTCAGAAGCGGGAGGCCACTTCAGAGACTGTCACAGTCCCCAGAGGTGGGGCGATAGGATCTTGGCCAGGTATTGGCAGTGAAGATGGTGACAAGAGGTCAAGGTTCTGATGTCAAGAATATCCAACTCCATTTTTTTTAGCACTCAATAAACCTGTTTATAAACCTAAATATTGAAATCTAAGGTTAAATAATAAGTGCTAAAGGATATAGAGACATATATTATCACAGGTCTACCCATCATGAACAAATTTTCTTTTAACATAGCATCACAGATTGTCCCCAGAATTCTTCGGATAGCTTTCCCTTTGACAACTTTGTCTTTCCTCCTGTGATATAATCTCATCTGCATTTCCAAAGAAATGCAAAATTAAGGAAAACATCGCTTAAGGGAAACAAATTTTTTTTTACTCAAATGCCAAGGCAATTGAAGAAACAGTATTTTAGGGGTCCATATGACCTAGGTAATTTCCTTAAATTTTCACTTCTCTTTATATATGCAGATAGCAGCAGAAGCTGGGGTGAAACTCATGGGTAAGGAAAATGTCACCTCTGTGAGGTAAATGGCTTCTCGGAGGACAAGTGAGTAAATCACTCTTCGGGCCACCAGGTGCCCTAAAGGAGGTCATTCCTGCCCACACATCAGGTCACTTTATTCCCTGGGAGTTTTACACTCATGCCGGCTCATTGACCATACAACCAGGACTGTTAGGCAGCTCTTAATAGATTATGGGTTCTTTCCTTATTATGTTTGCTAAATGGTGGTGCATCTAATCATTTTTATCATGTAGGGAAATTTCATGAGGTCTCTCTGGCCTAGCCAAATCCCCAAACAGGATTCCTCTGTTTATTCCCTTATGTCATAACGAAAATGTAGCTGAACCAATTACAGAGTACATAATAAGCCAATTAATTGTTCCTTACTTCTGTTAATGAGTGTAAAATGTGTGCCTGCTCAAATTACAGCCTATTCCACAAAATTCTTTGCTACGCTACTACTAAAATCTGGCATTATTTCATTTCTTGCAGTGTCAACAGCATTGATCACAGCAGCTAAGTATTTCCAGTGAGGCTCAGTGGGAACTGAACTTGTCCTTACAACGCAATCACTCACCCTTCCCACCCAGCATTGTGACCAACTATCTAAATTGCTGCAACATGGCCCCTCAGCAGAAACTAAGCTGAAGCCAAACCACATGCTGAAGAGGAAGTGCTTCTCTGGAGAATGACCTGACACTCTGGGCTTCAGACCCCATATGTCCAAAACTCACACCCTTATCTTGCTGACCCCAGAGACTAACAAGTAGATTTATTTCAGCTCTCTTTATCATGATCTATCTACTAAGATCAAGCATGAATAATAAGCAAAATTCATTTAAGTCCCAAGGCCCTAGCCATGAGTTACAGGGAAAAAAAAACAGTTGGGCCACTGTAAAACAGCCAGCTCTAGTATCCAGAGGGGAACAACAACCAAAGAGGTGGAGGAAGAATATAGTCAGAAAATTTTGTAACTTCATCAACATTTATTTTCACCAAACAACTCATTAAATCACTATAAAAGTCAATGCATATGGTTGGATATGACAGTTTAAGTTCTAGAAAGAGTTATAAGTCAAGTTAAACTCATAATACATAATGTAGTCTGGGTGTCTCATCCATGAATTATAACATTTTTATTACATCCGAACTGCAAATTACCAACTTGTTCCCTGTCCTGCCAATCTCTTGATTAAATGGGGGAACTGTTAGGCATTGTGAAAATATATTACAGTAAAAGATGACTTTATCATTTGTCTCAGTTATTTCTACACCCTTATTTAAAGCTTTCTCACTAGAGCAGCTGGCCCAAACTGAATTGTTGATTTAACAAAGTGATAGCAAAAGGGAAGAAGTAGAAAAATTGGGGCCAGAAAGGCCAGTGTCCCATAATCATCTTCCTGCAGTGTCTCATCAGATCTTTCTCTAATATTTATGTACCTCCCATACTTTGGGTGTCTATTTTGATCTCTTCAGTTTGTTCTCTTCAAAGTTATTCTTACTCTGCAGGTGTTATGCCCATGGGCCCAACTTAAGGGTATTATATTTTGTGTCTTACACTGATAATGGGGCAATAACTTGTACCCATCAAATTTCCCCATAAAATGGTTTAATGTCTTGAAGCAGTCCCAGCATGTCAGCTGAAGGAGTGAATCAAACTGACACCTTTCCACATTTATTAGAGAGCCATACTATTAGAGTTCCTTATTTTTAAAAAAATCACTAAAATTTTAGTTTATTTCAGGAACTAAAACTAATTAAATTAATATTTCAAAATATAAATGACCAGTCCTTATATATTGATGAGTTCTAATAATTGCCCTTTTATTTGTATTTGTTTTTGTCAATGTGTTGTATTTTGTCAATGTATTGTATGTGCCTTTACATACAACATACTATATGTATTGTATATACAAGGTATTGCAAGGTAGTACATTACCATTATTAAAATATGTGAAGAGTTTTTAAAG